TGTGGGTGTTGGACAATAAAGTAGTGATCTATCTAGTACTGGTCAGTTTAAAAATATGAGATTTTAAATGAATTATGTGTTTCTGGTGCGTCATGAGGGGTAGCTTCTTGCCAGAATTCAAATCAGGAGAGAGATTAGGAGATTTATGGAAATTTCAAAGGTGAGAAATCTTGTTCTCATTCCATGGCAATATTCAGTGCCACGGTTTAAAGAACACTCCAAGCACCATCACCACTCCAAGCGCCCCCTCCCCCCCATTGTAATTAGTCAAACCATTTCAAAATTGTTTGACTTCTTGCCTGGTAAGTGAATACAGGATGGCCAAGAACTGGCTCCCTACCATCACTCACCATTATAGCAGCCATTATTACAGCAAAGCAGCTCTTCCCTCACAGTGCAGATCACCATGCCAGACTGTGCTGGGCACACAGCTCCTCCATCACACTGTAAAGTACCATACCAGTCTGTGCTGGTATCTTCTTCCTCACATTGTAAACCACCATGCCAGTCTGCCCTGGGCACACAGCTCCTCCCTCCCACTGTAAGCCACCATGCCAGTCTGTACTGGGCAGAGAGCTCCTCCCTCACATTGTAAACTGCCCTGCCAGTCTGCCCTGGGCACACAGCTCCTCCCTCACATTGTAAACAACCATGCCTGTCTGCGCTGGGCACACAGCTCCTTCCTCACATTGTAAACAGCCATGCCAGCCAGTCTACCCTGGGCACACAGCTCCTTCCTCACATTGTAAACAGCCATGCCAGTCTGCGCTGGGCACACAGCTCCTCCCTCACATTGTAAACAACCATGCCTGTCTGCGCTGGGCACACAGCTCCTTCCTCACATTGTAAACAGCCATGCCAGCCAGTCTACCCTGGGCACACAGCTCCTTCCTCACATTGTAAACAGCCATGCCAGTCTGCGCTGGGCACACAGTTCCTCCCTCATAAGGGTAACTAGGAACTACTAAGGTGCAAGAATCAAATAAATAATTACCTTTTACCCTTCCGTGCTCACCCCTAAGCAATACACCTGGATAGGATGTGTGTGGTGGAGGAGTGTGAATCTGTGTGGGGCTTGGCTGAGTGTAATTGTGTTAGTTTGCTGAGTGTGATATGGATTTGCGAAGTTGACATAGTGTGAATGTGTTGAGCTGGCTGTGTGTGATTGTGTTGAGCTGGCTGTGTGTGATTGTAAATGGGATTGTGGCTGTGTGTGAGTGTGGAGTTACAGCCCTGCTTGGAGTTACTTATCTAAGCTGGGCTATCCCCCATGCTGACGCTAACATACTGGCTTCACTGCACCAGTGAATCCCATACTCCCCCAGCAAAAGTGTGAAAGCATGAGAACCCATTGTCACTTTATTTATGGCTTTAGACCCTGTGTGCTGATGACACTCAGGTTTAATGTAGAGGATTTATTTGACAGATGTAGAAGGTATCATATTTACAAAGAGCTCATTTGCTAGCATTTCTGTTTTAAATATATACATGTATAGATGGCACTTACTGCTCATTAATATACACTTATTTTATATAGATTTTAATAAAATACACATTTATTAATAATACATGCACGTGTATATATACTGTGTGTATATATTATAATTTATAAAGCACCAACAAGTTCCATAGCGCTGTTTAAAATGAAGGGTTAGTTATTTGGATGACACAGTTGCAGGAGAGGAAGCAGGGTGGGTTATCAAGGTATGTGGAGGGAAAGTTATATAAAGTATAATCGATATGCTTTAGTAAAATAAAGTAAGTAAAGTAAGTTTATAAGAATCTTTTGAATGAACTGAGAACGGAGTATTGATGGGAGTTCTACAGTAGTCTTGCACTCATGGGAATCAGCATGTCTGTACCTGATACTATAACCAGCAGTACTTTAATTTACAAAAATACAGAAATGGTTAGCACTCATGGCTCTTGCTCCTCTAAACCTTAGCTTTTATTTAAGTTTTAGAGGTGAAAGACCCTTACTTGTGCTGACCATTTCTGGATTTTTGTTAAATATTTATATTCACACATATAACTACAAATCACATGAATTGAGTTAGACTATTTTTTTAAATAATGGTTTTTATCCATATAAGCACACACTCTCAGTGACTAACACACACTGACATATACTCATGAGCGCCCTAAGGTGGCCAGTTGGCCTTGATATGCAAAACACTGAGTGCCTGGTCGCACTTGTGATCTTTACGTCCCCAGATCTTCCACCACTGGCTGCCGGTATCATAAGCTAAGCAGTGGAATGTTCCATGCTTGTGGGGGAGCACCTACTCTGGTGCTCCCCCCCATGATCTACCAGTGCATACTCTTCAGTAATTTAAAACATTGTTGTGTAATAATAAGATATGGCTCATGTTGGCGTGAAACAGGCATCATGTCCATCACTATAGCAAATATTTCTTCAGAGGTGATATGTGATAACAGAACATTAAGAGAAGGGCTTGTTTGTGAGGTGTGTGAAAATGTGTGAGCTTCTCAGATGGAGAAGGAGTAGAGTCTCTCGGTAGTGCAGAGCCAGGATGGCATTTTGGATAATTTACTTCTACAATTGTGTTTGGAGATTTAAGAGTTATTTCCGTGACTGTTGTTTACTACCGATTTGCTATAGATAACAAATTTGAGGGGAGAAAAGACAAACATGTATCCATATGTGTTCGAGCATTACAGAAAAAGAATGTTGGGTGGAATTTGATATGCCATATTCACAAGGCTCACATTTTTATTATTTTAGTATTAGCTAAATCTGGCAGTGAATTCCACATCTTAAAAAAAAAATAAAAAAAATAAAACATTTTTATTTCTTTTATTTTGATAATGATAGCCAGGTACATTCCTAAAAAGGTCAACACATTGTAACAAAAAGCAGAACAGTGTGACGGACAAGTCCTGTCGTTAGCTTGGTTTTGTGAGTGTCAAACATCAGTGCATAAGGTGTAGATATCTTGTGTCATCTTGTACACAAAGGTTATGAACATCTGATACATTCTATTTTATGAACCTCTGATTGGTCCAAGCTCGTCAGTCGTTCCTATGTCGCTACAGGACCAACTCGTACAGTCTGTATTATTTAAAGAAGTAGTAGAGGAAAGTTTAGTTAGAAAGAAGAAAAGTAAGAAGGGGGATAACAGAAGAGAGCAATTCCTGGGGGTAGTTTCCCATGTAACAGTCAGGTGTGGACATAGTCGGAGTGTGTGGGGTTTCAAGGGGCCTAGAGCCTACGTAAGGCACCACCGTTGGAATTGTCAGATAAACCTGGAAATATGCATTGATATATCACTCAACTTAGCTGTTAGTTATTTATTTTTTATTTATTTTCTTAGAGTGCATTTAGCATCACCCATACAATTGCATATGTATGGAATCCGGGAAGAAGAACACTATGAATGATATGTGGCTCCCCAATGCATTAACCACTCCTTAAAGCTGGAGAAAGGCCTATTTGTGAGAAGACAAGCTGCCTATAAGTTATAAGTTCCAAACGATTCCTCCCATTCTCCCAGGTCTCCATGAGGTTGCGACGTAACTGCACTGACTTTTAATATAGAAAATAGGATCTTCTTTCTTCTAAATCTTTTCTGTAAAATAATTTGTATGAATAATATACCCCCTGAAAGGGCTTTGTAATCACCTTGAGTATACTTATTTACTGCAATTCTTATTACCATGGAGGTTTTTTTGATTTTGTCCGTAGTGATCAGACCCAACTCCCATCCTCACATCTAATTTTTCAAAATGTCTTTTTTAATGAATTGCTAATGTGGTGCTCCAATGGTACTACATGCTTGCAACGTTTTAAGGAGACAATATAATTTAGTCTAAAGATGCACATTTAGTCCCTTTGAAAACAGGTCAATAGCCTGTGGTGCTTACCAAAAGTGTATAAAACTATGCCCCCCCCCCCCAGCAGACGACATCAAAAAGAGGCAAATAAAGGAAATGCATTAATTGGAGACTGCTAATGCGTGTCTGAAATGGGCAATAAAATTCAGGAAAAGAACAGATGAAATAAAGAGACAATGTGAAGGACTATACATAACATGAAGGGATGTAACAGAAAGGAGAAACAGGTACATTCATTATTTCTAATGGTTGTCCAGCAGAAATGCAAATTGACTGATAGATTTAAGCAAATCATTTTTCAGTAAAGATTTTTGTTTATGATATCTGTCTTGTTTTACCCCACAACAAATGACCTTCAAGATACAATTTTTATTACACAGAAATTGATATACACACTTAGAAGAATTTTTTACTGCTCCAAGTTGAAACTAGTGACATTAGTGATTTTGAGTCTGTGTGAATGTTTTTTCTTAAATCTATGGCTGATAGGTGTGTTATTGTGACATCAAAACACAGGAATGACAAGGTAATGACATCATAGTATCAGAGCTACCTCCAGTGTTCCAACCCATCTCCTCTTTCTACATTCCATGCAGAACCTACTTCACTTATGGACTGTTTTGTCTTCACCTCTTCTAGATGTCTTCTGAACGCTGAAACAAGCAGTGGATCTATATCCTTTGTTTATTTTTTCATTTATTCTAACATATAGATTTAGTTTTATACGTTTGGATAACTGTATGGTTTTTTGTTTTTTTTATTGTATTGAATTTACATGACAAACAGTTTGATAATCTTTTATTTCTCTACCACAGCACGAGAGAACCAATATTAGAAAACGGGAGAAAATCACGTCTCACAAAGCATTAGCGTATCCGTATTACACAGGATCTACCAAAGCTTTTCCCAGGATGATTTGGAGAAAATGCAGCCTGCAGATTCTGATTTTATTCAAATACTGCAGTCAGTTCTTTGGAATTGAAATACAGAGAGCAATGGAAATACAATTTTAAAGAAAGATTCTAGAGGGAAAAAAGGCAGACACATATAGGGCTATTCACTAAATGAGATTTGTTGGGAAATCAAAGTGAATTTCAAACTCAATCCCAAAGTAGTTAAACTGTAAGCATTACTGACTTAAAGAATGTTTCCAGTGTGACTACTTTGGTCTAAATTCAAAATGTACTTTCATTTCCTGACAATTCTCACTTGACTGACTCACCTTCATGGTGAAGAATGTATCTGTGTGTTTTGCACTGTATAAAATGCTGATGAGTAAGATCTGTAAGCAGAGAAACATTTATTTTTTTTTAGTGAACGCTTTTCATAAGAGTATCAGTTTTGTCGGCATGGAACCTAGTTTCTGTATATTGTAAAAATGTGCATTAGAATATATACTATGAGTGCCCAGGCCAACATTCCTTTACGTTAAAAGGTTAGCTTGGTAGACATAGAGATCATGTATTTGTGTTGTAAAAGGCATGCATGTATCTTATAGCAAAGACCTGCCTTCTCAGTATTGTATCCTTTATATACGAGTGTTAGCTCTGTAGGCAAGGACAACTTTTCTCTTAACTGTACCCTATGTATCAATATTTAAACTCTGTCCCAGGGGTGTAGGAACTGGAGGCATGGAAAACTGATGTAGCCTGTAAGAAAGATAAGAAAAACAAAACATATCCTAAAAGAGTTGTTTATCCCATTCCAGTAATAGACTAAATCTTGATAATAAATCATTTTGTTTGCAGAAAACTTTATGCTTCCCAAGTGGGGCTGGGATTAATATGGACTGTCGTCCCCCCTGCCAGAGTTTCTCCCAGACTTTCTTTGGTTCCTACGCCGAGGCTCTGTGCACACGGAACAAATTGATCTGTATTGTAAAATTAATATTAAAGTTCACTTTTTGCACACCCCTCCTTTCTCTGTAATTCACCCCTTACATTAGAATGTAGGCTGTGTGAACAGTACCGTCGGTGTATTGTATCCATTATATTAGAGTGTACGATTGGCAGGCATGGGCGAATATCTTTGCATTAGTAATTGCATATTCTGCATGCACAGATCTAGATTATTATCTGTATTAAGTCCTAGTAGAAGAGAATAAGTATTGTGACAAGGAAGCAAAATTCTCTTTATTGCTTACATTATATGAGAATAGAAAGAAAATGTAATGTCTGTTTGCACCAACCTCATTTTTCTCGATTTACCCTTTTATAATAACGTGTTTGCCTTGTTGATAAGGAAGTAATTTCTTTGTATAACCATATGCATAAAATAGTGCAAGATCCATGTGCACAAGCATTCATTCCATGCATTGCGTCTCTATTAGAGTGAACGCTGTGTGCGAGCAGACAGCCTTTCTCTTTATTGTACCTATCTCATTAGAGTGTAAGCTCTGTGGGCATGGGATACATTTTCTATATCATGAAATGTACATTAAAAGTGTAATATTTCCTCCTGTCTCTTGGGGTTATTTAAGACTAAATGTAGTCTGGATTAGCAAAATTTGATTAAAACTTGACTAAAATTAAACGAATTTTAACCAGATCTGAAATTCTCATATTTACTAAAGTAAAATCCAGTTGAAATTCAGTAATTTTAGCCCCATGAGCACATTTAGTACCATCTGGTGTCTGCTTTAAAATCAGTAACTCTCCTTCACATTATAAGATCTATAAAATACTGGATGTCGCAAATCCCCAGAATATATTCATTCATTTTTAATTTGAATCTTTTCAAAACCTATTTGCTTACTGTCACTGCTAGCAGTCTGTGGGTCAATAGATAAAAGCAGGCAGCAAACTGTCAGGTAGTGGCAATTGGTTGACTCCTGCTAGCCAACGCTGCAGAAAAAAAAAAGAGAAAAAAAAACTATTGGGATCAATAAACCCCCATATGAATTCCACCAGACATGCCATGAGTGGGGAATGACTACTAAACAGTGAGCAGCCAGCAGCAATTCAACTGTTAGTACTGCTAGTGAGAGTAAGAGTGCTTCCCTTACACCCTGCCACTCTGTATCAGTTTGGGGGGTTAAGGTTAAACTAGATACAGACTGGGCAGCTGCATTGTAGAGTCGCTGTCCCTAAAGGTCCCATCCCATTAGCAGTGGAATGAAAGGGAATATAATAGTACAAGGGCGGGACCTTCCATTGGTCTCTTCTAAGGCTCTGCCCATGGGCATTAGGTGGAGTCATTAGTAATAAGGGAGGAGGGAGTCTTGACACTGATCCCCCCTCAGAGATCACATATGGTCAGTGGGAGAGACACATCAATAAAGGAGAGATGGGACCTGTCAGCAACTCTCCACCACAGACCCAACCTAGGGCAGTGTGTGGTTATATCAGTAAACCTGTCTTACTCAGCCCCAAACTAAGGGCGGCAGGCAAGGGTGGCTTTAGACTTTGCGAGCCTTAGGCAAAACGTAAACATGAGGCCCTCACTAACACCATTAGTGAAAGAAAAATAGGGGTTGCCTTGTGTGTGTATAAGGAGCTGTAGATATATTGAAGGTATATCTAGACAGGGAGGAAAAAGCTTTATGCAATAATGCCAGGTGGACGTGGTATACCCTGGCACTAGTGGAGAGGTTAGATTAGGCTTTTTTATGAAGATGTTTTTATTGGCATTATTTTGAGGCAAGGGGGCCACTTGCAGATCCCTTCTCAGATGTTATTGATGTGCCCCTCAGGATGCCCATGGGTGAGTGACGGGGGTTGTACCAATAGCAAGTCCTGCCCTCCATTATTCATATGATCCCATAGGAGTAGGGGCTACGTTGAAGGACTATTGGCATGTTCCCTTTCTCCGATACTGATGAGGCCCCAATGGCAGGTTCCCAACTTTCATTATTACTAACATTGCCTTCTGATACCAGAGGCCAATGGGTGGGGGCTGCGGTGAGACCACTGGTGGGACCCTACTCTGTTATTGAAATAAAAACAGGTGAGTAAGCGCTAAATAACACAAGTGGGCAGCAACCCTAAAAAGGGAATCCCTCAGAAACCCTTTAGGATAAGACACAAAAAATACAGAAAAAGGGCTGCGCTTAAATAATAAATATATAAAAGTCCAGATGAAATAAATAAATAAATAAATAAAACAGAAGAGGTCTTATCTTGCAATGTCCGTAGTGCTTAGTCAGAGATAATAATCTTGCTTTCTGTCTTGCTTTCTGTCTTTCTTGTGGATCGTCTCTTATGTAAGATATAAAAACAAATACAAAACCACAATGGTGCAGTATATCTATATGTGTAGGGAATAAAATATAAAGGCTTGATTGCGAACTCACATATCCAAGAGCTAGGACCTGCTCTGGTATAGAAGGCGTACAGCGGTTTAGATCCCCGCTTATGGGATATAGGATGGTTTTCCTCCACGTGTTTCCTCCTTCCGTGGTGTAAAAGATGCTCAAATAAAAAGAGACAGCCTATAGTGTTCTCTGCGTAAAATTAAAATCCAATATAAAATAAAATAAAAAATGGATACTCACAAGACAGGAGCAGGTCAACTGCTCCTGGTATTTCGCACTGGTGGAATAATCCCCACCTAGGATTGCTTGGAGTCCAGCGAATGATGCCAGGTAATGATAATAATTATATGTGTATTAAAAGATAAGTAGTACAATAAAAGATTATAAAATATACTTTAATTGTAACATTACACAATATAAAAAACCATAAACGCGTTTCGCCAATCGGCGTTATCAATATGGGTAAAAGGATGGATCCTCACTCAATGCCAGTGAGGAGAATACGTAAGTGTTTTTTTAACTATTTGACTGGTTGTGGTGCGTTCAGGAAAAAAGTCTGGATTTTTATCATCCGGATTGAGAAATTGGGAGTTTTGTAGAATCCAGACAGGCTGAATTTTATTTTTGCTAATCCAGACTGGAAGCATGTGGACTTTAGTGAATAACCCCATCTTTATTCTACTTATATTAGAATGTAAGCTCAATAAGCAGGATTGCAAGCTCTGCGTTACATGGGACTAATTGTTCTGCTTTATAAAAAAAAAAATTACAATAGACATTCTGTGCGAAAACCCTTTTTCTCTGTATTGTAGCCCTTATATGAAAGCTCTGTGAGCAGCGATTATGGGTTCCTGTGTTACACTTTTTATGTTAAAATATAAGCTCTGTGAACCAGTTCCTGCTTTACATCATTTTATTAGAGTGTAATCTCTGCAAGCATCCTGAGGGGCACATCAATGCTTTTCCATGCACTGAACCCTTCATTACAGAGTGTAAGCTATGTTAGCATAAACTGTTAGCTCTGTATTATAAAATGTATATTCGAGTTTACACTCTGTGTGCACAGACCTCTTTTCTCTGTATGTACCCCTTATATTAGACAATAAGCTCTGCAAACGGGGATCATGTTCTGCTATATACTAAATGTGAGATCTGTGAGCAAGATCTACCCATCTGTGTATTGTATAGTACCCGTCATATTAGTGTAAGCTCTGTGGGTAGAAAACACATTTTTCTGCATTCTACCCTACATATTAGAGTATAAGCTCTGTGTGCAGAGACCATGCTTCTCTCTATACAATTCATATGAGAATGTAAGCTCTGTGAGCAGGGACTGTTTCTCTCTGTATAGCACACTTTGATTAGAGTGTAAGCTCTGTGGTGGGCAGGGACTATGTCTATCTGAATTGTACACTTTGTATTAGAGCTCTGTGGCCAGGGACTATGTCTCTCTGTATTGTACACTTTGATTAGAGTGTAAGCTCTGTGGGCAGGGACTATATCTCTCTGTATTGTACACTTTGTAATAGAATGTAAGCTCTGTGGGCAGGGACTATACCTCTCTGTATTGTATTACAATGTAAATTCTGTGGGCAGAAAACACCTTTTTCTGTATTATACCCTGATTATTAGATTGTAAGCTCTGTGCTCAGGGACCATGCTTCTCTCTATTATGCAATTACAATTTATATGTAAGCTCTGTGGGCAGGGTATCGCACCCTTCATATTTAGAGAATACACACTTGTGGCAAGCAACACCTTTCCTGTACTGTACCCTTCATAATAGAGTGTAAGCTCTGCTAGCAGGAACCATGTTTTTCTGTATTGTACCTTTTATCTTAGAGTGTAAGCTCTGTGGGCAGGGACTATACCTCTCTGTATTGTATTACAATGTAAATTCTGTGGGCAGAAAACACCTTTTTCTGTATTATACCCTGATTATTAGATTGTAAGGTCTGTGCTCAGGGACCATGCTTCTCTCTATTATGCAAATGCAATTCATATGTAAGCTCTGTGGGCAGGGTATCGCACCCTTCATATTTAGAGAATACACACTTGTGGCAAGCAACACCTTTCCTGTACTGTATCCTTCATAATAGAGTGTAAGCTCTGCTAGCAGGAACCATGTTTTT